TTTCAAAAATATTTTTAAGTCTCTGCAAGTTGCATACGTCGGGTGAAAATTCTCTCTCGCGAAGGAAATTTTCGTCCTCAACGGCGCTTACAGGGTCTTGAAACTGGAAAACATCGAGGTGAAAACTAATTGAAATTCTCTCCGATGATTGTAATTGACGGTTTGAATAAATGAACATTTCAAGTCCCAATTTTCATTTGTTAAAAGCGACTGGAGGACAATGCCTCATTTCAATATTATATCTCTAGACGTCAAGTGAACAGAAAAGAAGCGTGAGGTTGTTTTGAAATAATCCCACAGCAATGGGAATAGAACTAACAATTAATTTACAAGAAATATACCTCTCGACCACGGCTGCATTAGGTTATGAAGATTTTTCTTTTCTTTTCCATACCCTATCATTTGTTTGATATTGTGTCGACCCCTATAGCCGTTGTTGGCCGTGAATCAAGGTTTGCTTTCGCCACTCAAAAGCAGTGCGCGTCATAATACGTCATCGTTACCAAGGTAATGCCCTAAGCAAGTGATTTACATCCCTGTGGGCCTTATCTCCCTTGTAGACATCAAAATCAGAGCGAGAAACTATGAATTATTTATAGCTTGGCGAAGGAAGCTTAGAAAAACAAAAAAAATTGTTTACAAAAAAATATGATCTCATGAATTAAGAAGCCCATTTTCAATCTACAAACATTTAAAATGTCTTTTTTAAACGATGAATGATAGACAATTAATTTTTCTTTCTTATAACTGATTGTAAAAAGATATCTTCGGCAAGTTTTCAAGTAAAATACTCCAAAATCATGCATTTTGTTAAATATGCATACGGGCCTTAAGCTTGTCTTGAATATTCCATGAAATCCTGACGAAAATTATCGGCAGGAGAGATTGTGGTTTGATGATAACACAATCATTCTTGCCGCATAATGAAAATAATGTTCCAGCAAGAATATCGCCGAAACTACTATCAATTCTTCAGAGACCTGTCTTGAAAATGTATAAAAGTGAATTTGACATTCGCGATGTTTTGAAAATAAAGCTCACCGGTTGAATTTTGCGTCACTATTTGTCAATTTCGCTTACTGAAAAATATTGTCGTAGTGAACTATCGACCATGTACATCTTTTGCATTACTTCGTTTCATTTCAAATTTAAAAATTGCAAAAACAGAAAATTTGAGATGTTGAATAGTGCGGCTAGTCAGTTGTTGGCTTTTTTAAAATGCAAAGTTTCGAACCTTTCAAATAAAATTAACGATCTCCGTAGGAACGATTTTAAGTGAAGCCATCTGCCTCAAGTATGGAATATAATTCTTACAATATGTACGCGCAGGTTTTTACATGTCTCCGGCGCGCCATAAATTTTGAACTTCGTTTCCTTGACTTAGTGATTTTCTTACTATGTAAGCGACAAAGCTGGCTGGATTCTCATTCAGGTGAAAAGAATTCACATGTATTTTCTACCTACCTCGAACATGTTTTAGTGAGGAGCTTCAGAGTCTCAACCTTGTCAATAAATGTTTTCCCCTTTTGAGTAACACCGCAAAATTCCCATCATAAAATAACACTCGCCATAGTTTGTCAATAGCATCTGTATTATAAGCCAGTTAGTCAAACAGAAGGTTATGACAATTATGAATTATTACTCAGTAAAAGACGCCTGAAGTTTACGCGCTATTTTTTACCTCAGATATGTAATATGCTGCATCGGTCTTGAATTTTACGTTAAACGGAAGGCAAACAACCTTAATTAGTAGAACTCAGACGTTACAAAATTGAACAGAAAATATATCTAGCTTACTTTTTCATTCCATGAGTTCATGCGTATTTTTGCGCCGACAATTATTCAGAAGTCACAGGTTTTAAAAAATAACACTTGATTCATTGGATTTTTCCTGTGTCAGACAGCGAGCAAACAACATCAACGGCTTCAGATGGCAACGTAGTGATATGAGTGGTAGAGAGTAATTCCAAACTTTCGTTGGTTATCGACGCGTAGCTGTTTTTTTTTATTTTTATTATCACTATCATGATTATTATTTGTTAGTCTGTTTTTCAACCTAATTTAATCCGCTCAGGTCATCTTTCATTGTGGTCTCTTCTTTCGGTAATTTTGGTGAATCCAAAATACCTGCAATAAACATTCGATTTCCTAACTCATCCTAGCTAGTTCCCAGAATTCTTCGGACGTCGAGTTTTAGGAGTTCGTCATCCTCAACGTATTTTGCACTATTCTTGTCAAATAAGCGTGATATTCTGTGGAGGAGATATACCTGGTAACCCTCAAGTATGTATTTAATTTATTAACTGCTACCGTTGAATGGTTCCCAAGCAGTATAAGTGAGTTATCTCATAGGTCCAGTATCTAAAACTCGAAAAATAAAGACCCAGTTTATCATTTTCTGGTTGAGTTTAGCTCACTGTGAATTTGTATGTCTCCTCTTTCCGCTTTTCAATTACATGACCAAAATTTCTAGTGTTTCATTATACACTGCTATGTTCGAGGACAGCCATACAACAATATTGATGAGAGATAAGTGTTTTCACTCATCTGCGCTGAAGGCATACTCTGGAAATAAAAAATGCGATTCCGCGTGTTTTTCAACAGGTGTCAGAAAATACCTCTTGCGATTCTACGAAAAAGTCTTTTATCCATATCGAGAGTAGATAAAGGATTTTTCTCCCGTTCACGACTGTTGTTGGTTCTCTGTGTCTTGTGACTCAGGCAATAAACGATGGGATTGATTCAATTCAAATTGAGATGTGTATGTTTCATGCTTACAACACTGGCATACCTACTTGTAGTTGCTCTCGGTTCTAAATTCTACCAGAGCTGTATTTCTCTTCTTCGTTCCTTTAATGATCGATGAGATCCTGTTGGACTCGGGACACAATTCGCCTATTTGCCAAACAGTACTCATAAACAAGCTCAATAGTTTCTACCCAACGTGTTTCTCATTCGGTTGACTCTGCTTCCTGGTTTTGAGGGGAAACCACAAGGGAGACTCATTTTCGGTCATTCTTTAGTGTTTCAAAAAGTGCCTCAGTGTTATAACTTACAATTGCATGTGTCGGCTTATTATTGTTATTACATTGCAGTTGTTGTTGTCGTCATTCAAGTCGTTGTTTTCAATCGTTGTTGCGGTGTCGTTTATGTATTTAGCTTTATTTTTATACTAGTTTAGCTATGCTGATGCTGGATCCACATGTTTTGCATCCTTTCAAAATTGAGAATACGTTTGGTATAACTTTGTTACTTTAGATGCACTTTCTGTTTCCTTGAGTCAGCTGCACCAACCAGCGCGACACCGTTCAAGCATCTTCCGTCGGCTTGTTAGATTACCTCGTTCCCGGTTTCTGACAGGGCTTAAATAACATAAGAATTTCCGATTTAAATTTAAAAATTAGCAAATCCTTTATTCCTTCACTAGAAAAGCAGCATCTTTGATTTTTTTATTTTCTCGATGTAGACATTTAAGAAAGCGAAGGTGAAGTTATCGTCACGGTAGTCATTTATCTTTCCGCGGGCGCCATTATGGTGTGAAGTATGATACGAATGCAAACAAAATCTGACAAAGGGAAATTAATATTCCAACGTTTAACTTTGAGTACTATATCAATTTTTTGGCTTTTATCTGAGAAGATGACTGAGGTAAACAGTTGTATGACCATTGATTGCTAGAAACTTTGAAAACTCAAAGACGATCGGATGCGATCAAAGGTAGAGGCCTTTAATTTCGAACACCATAAGGTATAAAAGGATCGTTTCGTTTGATTATTATCAATATCATTTTGCTTGCACTTTGCAATCGTATATCAAAAGATTAATTGTTATCAGTAATAACCACAGAAAGGAAGTTATTTGCAACCCATGTATGTAAGGACAACGAATCGTTTTTTTTGCTTCTTCTATTTTTATTATTTTTGCTTCTCCTATTTTTACTAAGAGATTATAACATTCTTAGACCTCTCCAAACCGAACCCTTTTGTAATTGCAATCAAGACTGTTAATGTTATTTGCTCAAACATTTGGAGAGAAATGGAAATCATCGTTATTAATCGTCTGAACTGTCAAACAAATTGATGGTAACAAATTGAATTAGCCTGAAAGACCGAGAATATTAGGGAAGTTCTACAACAAGTAACACAAATGGCAGACTGTTTTTGCTAAAATTAGGTAAAATTCTACCAAAATAAAGAATCAATCGTACGCCTAATCCAATAGCGACTTGTTCATGTCTCGCAATACTATATTAATTGTAAAAGGGATTGCATATTGACTTTTCTCAGTAATCCGGTTCTTTTAATTTCCCCATTACTATTTATATTAGCTTTTTAGATCTTAATTCCGGAAATGGCTTTTTTACTTTTAATTTCAGAGGATGTACCAGGACAAAAAGGAAACTGTCCTTCTTATAAAGAAGTTTCAAAATAGATATACATTTTCATCTCATCTCCTAAATGGCTATTATTCACCTGACAATTCCAACACGTTAGATATTTTGTGACTGAAGTAAATTTTGTTATTTAAATAGTTCTTAGAGGAGGTCGCTGATTTATGGAAGTCTTTTAGGGTAATTCTTCTTTTAGGTCCATGTGCTGTAAATAAGTTTTCAAATGAATTCACACATGAACAACATCAAAGATAGATCAGATTTTATTTCACTCTCGGAGAACCCTTAGGTGGCTCTTACCTATTGATGCTATCACCCGGGCGGTGGGAGATAACATTGGAATTGTCACATCAAATGGATTACAAAGCACCTCATCATAATGTTATCAGATCACTGCGTCAGAGAGCAATATTCTGGTGTAAAACGAAATAAAGATTGAAAAGTTTTAACTGCATAATGTAAGCACTTTTCGAAAGATCGACGATAACGACAAATTGAAGTATTTTGATGTACTTCGAACTAAAACATTTTGTACAGGTGCGTCAAGTATTTGATTTCCCAAGATCAGATTTCAGAATTAATCATTTTAATACGTTTGGCGCCTTTGCGATCTGACGTTTGCAGTGAACAAAGCACTCACACAAACTCGTCTCTGAGAATCGGTCAATTTCCCACCAGCTTGTAGATACCTACAACGGCGACAAAGACATTGATGACACCTAAAGGAACATGTAATAACTCTTCCCCAGTGCAGTCACGATTATTTGGCTACTAACGTAAAAGCCGGAATTTTCAGAAAACAAAATCCGACAGAGTTTTAATGCAAAACTCTGTCCTTCACACTTAGAAGGTAAGTTTAATTTTCAGTTGAAAATGTTATTGCAATAAGGTCTCAAACTCCTAGTAGTTTTGATACACCAAATATAAACGTCTATCGAGGCCAATACAACGAGTAAGGCAGAAAATCGCTGAAGAGATTTTGTAAAATTCCTAACGCATGGAATTTGCTTAGCTTGGTCTTTAGGAAAGGAAAACTACACAAACTGTTTAATTTTTGTTAATATTGTTGGGATCTTGATGTCGACAGTTCAATATAACAGTTGAACGTTAACGTTTTTTTCGGTGAGACTTCCTAAGAGATGATTGAGATCAGCCGAATGAAATTTTTAGGGTGAGTATGAAGGCGAGATCCACCTGTATGGTTGTAAAAGCGGGCGAACATATAATGAATCTATACGAGTTTCAACAACTTGTTTGGTTCAATGTAGGTCGATATGCAGGAGGGAAACTGATTAGTTTACATCAGTCTTGGTGAATGGCATTCTCTAAATTGGGGTTAAACTGGACAAGGATTATCATTTCAGTGCTACCAAGGTTTCCTGAACAGAGCATTTTCGTCGCTTTCTAAAACTTGAAATATTCTACACAGTGCAACATTTCATAAAGATCCACCCAGGAGACCCTTAGCGCCAGCCAGTGTTCGTACAACTTGCACTTACAAAGACAAATGAGACTAACTCCATTTCAATTTTTATAATCTCTCAAATAAACAATTACTTTTTATCTTCCTGTTTACTTTAAATCTCGTTTTTAGGAAAACGTTTTCTTTCCTTAGCTTATCTATGAGAAAGTATCGGCGAAAAAGGAATGACGTAACCTTCGTGAATCTTAATGAACCTATAATTCTGATAGCTCTTTACCCACAAAGCAATGCCAGTTGGGATGATAAAGGTAACTTTCAACTTCAAGCCCCATAAACTCTGTTTGCTGTTAAGTCCAAGTGTGAGGTCAAGATGGCTGGATATTGGACGAGTTCTTTTTTTATGTTTTTATGGACCGAGACGAAGATTTCACTTCATAAGAATCGAAAATGACTTGTCTATTTTAAACTATAATAAACTCTCGAAAATTGTTTATTTTTTCTTTGTTTTGGTTATCTTCTGCCTTTTCTTTACGTCTCCATTGCCGTTATTGTCCAAAAACTAAGAACTTTGCAAATCTGCTCCACGCCTTTCTTTTTCTTGCGTGGGATTAAAGAGGACAATCTCGAGAAGGCTAAATAAGCCCATCTTGCACGCTCGGGTAGCCAATCAGAAAACAGGATTCGCCTCATATTGCTTACGGTACTGCCAGCTATATGTTAATTGACAATATAACATGCACCTACGTATATTCTAATCATTCAACTATCCACATTACAGGGAACAGCTCGTAAAAAGTGTTTTCTTGCAATTCAAACTGCGATATCAGGCCATGAATGAAACACAAGCTTCAAACTCAAGCCATGAAGTTACTACTGACCATCGCAAAGTTTCCTTGATTGTGGCGAATGTGTTCTTGGTTATAATAATAATTTTCGCCGTATTTGGTAACATTCTTGTTTGTCTGGCTTGTGTCTTGTCTAAACGGCTTCAAAGTTTCACTAGTGCCTTCATAATCAGTTTGGCGGTCACTGATATTTTAGTTGGCGCTATATCTATGCCCGTTTGGCTTTCTGTTAACCTGACTGGCAAACCAGACGCCGTAAAGTTCCCTACATTCTACACGGTTTGGCTGTGTTTTGACATCATCTGCGGAACGGCATCTATCATGAATCTTGTCTTTATAAGTATCGACCGCTTTCTAGCTGTCAATCATCCTCTTCGTTATCCAACCATAGTCACACGACTCCGAATCACAATCGGAATAACTTTCATATGGATTTATTCTGTAACAATTGCAGCTATACAACCAATCAAATGGCCTAGCTACCCGTTATTCGTTTCTCTGGCTTCTTTCTTCGTTCCTCTGTTGGGCATGGTACTCGCTTATTCTCGTATATTCCAAGTCGCCTTAAAACACATTCGTAGCATTCGTCGTGTGCACCCGAACCAATCGATACTTCGACGGCCAACAGCGGAAACATTCCATCGTGACATCAAGGCTGCGCGAACACTCAGCATTGTAATTGGTGTTTTTATTGTATGCTGGTGCCCGTTTTTCGTGGCTAATTTGATCTTCAGGTACTGTAAGTTATGCGAAGTTCCCAATGAAGTTTATTCCATGATTAAGTGGTTACACTACGGTAATTCGGCTCTAAACCCGCTTATATACAGCTGTTTGAACGCAAACTTCAGGGCGGCCTTCAAAGATGTGTTAAGGAGAATCAGTCTGAATAGAAGAATGATGCAGACTGATAGCTTTACCAAAAGGAATGTGACAACTACTACCAACAGCGGACAAGATATGCATTACAGGCTTTCTTTACCAAGTGAACAGCTTCATGGCGTTAACTGATGAAGTTTACTGGCCTGCAGAGTAGCGAAGGCTCCCGATAACATATTCACTGAATGTGCGATAAAACAGAAAACTTCTAGTGATGAGCGTGTTTGATAGACAGCAAAGAAGATAGCGAAGAGGACGACAGAAACATTCACCCTTCCTTTACTACATTAACACAGCGTCAAGTGTCAGGCATGCGCACGGGGATCGATTTTGTCTGGCCGGAAGCGCGCCATTTTCTCGCGCAAAATTTCAAAAGGAAAACGTAGGTCAAGCCGCCGTCATGCAAAATATGCGAAAAAAATTTAAACGTTAATATTACTCTATAAACCCTAACTCTTAAGCTAATGCAGGTCTGAGAATCTAGATTTACATCAAACAATATCCACTTGTTGATGATGCATTGATTTGTAAGGATAAATCACTCCTGGTAGCGAAAGGTTTTAATAAAGTAATCTAGAGTATTTAGACAACATTTCAGCGTAAAATGATTAATTTAATTGAGTTACCATAGTATTTTGAAACCATTTAAGCGTCAGGATGAATAGCTTCTAAATGGATTACAGCCTTAAAATAATTAATGTCTGGGTGATAAAAACACCATAGACGTTTGAGTGAATAAAAAAATAATAGCAAGTTTATGGATGAACAAGATTGACACAGGCTACAAACGAGGAACTTGGAAATTTACCCTGACTTTTTTAGAATGAAGAACTCATTCAACAGAGTTTCCTTTGGTTTCTGCAACTTCTGATTCAGTTTATCTACAAGTTCATTTGAATGGCCATGTCGTCTCCCAGATTTTGGTAATTCCCACGCTCAATCTTGCTTCTGCTTGAATCGACACATTTTCACTTAAACACACGAGTAAGTAGACGTGAGTATACTTGGTCTTTGTGATTTTCTGTCAGAATTATCCACCTTGAAACAGCTCTTTTCCACTCTTGCTATTCTTATGATTTACTGTCGTTGCACCTATGGAACATAAATTTCCGGGCGAAAGGAAAAGACACGATTGTTAACGGAGTTTCTTAACACACTAATCGAGACTCAAGTAAGAAACTGGCTTTACGTTGCGGCCGGAAAGTCAGAGAAAGCACGTTTAATGTGTGGCAAGTTTAAGTCACAATCAGGAAAAACACGTTAGTGTGTGGCAACTTCAGGTCACAATCCGTAGCTGTAAGTTTTAAACTTAAACTTGACTGTAAAGCCAACCAAGTTTTGTCACGGTTTTCAGCGGTAATCCACTTTTTTCTCAATAGAATCGAGTTTTTGATGCTGAGCATAGAATGTAAATCATTGTCACCTGTCCTTCATTCTTTAGCGTTGGCTTTGATGATTTAGTCGTAAATTGTAATAACCAGTAGTTGATAATTTTCTCTTGTCTTCTTCAGTAACTCTAAACAACGGTCACGATTTCAGTGCAAACGAGAGCGTCCATCTCAGTCTTAGAATTGGCTTTAACTAAATCAACGGCAATATTTCCACTACTTCGGCTGGTTCTCGGCGTGCTGTGCGATAGCCATCGACTGACATACGAGAAACTTTGATCGGACACGAACCGACAAAGAATCCTACGGAAAGCCGCTCGGAAGTGCCGATTGAGGAGCGTGTAGATGATCGGGTTTACCGCTGAATTAGAGTAATGCAGCCACTTCATAGCTTTAGCGAGTCGTAAGGTCGTGTCCTGAGACATGCACCTCCCACAGGAAACCGTTATCAATAAAGTGATGATATACGGTGACCAGCAAGCGAGAAAGGCGCCCATTACAATCGCTAGCGTCTTAGCGGCTTTCAGATCAGTGTGATATACACGACGCATTTGGCGCACGGAGCTCTGACTAGTTAGGCGCGGGCGCACTTTATGGAAAAGGAGGCGACTTGCAGTGGAAGAATTCCGTCCCATGCTGTAAGAGGCGCGAGGCTTCACAAAAGTCTCTGAGTCAGCGGATTCCCCGTTCTTATGTTCAACATCTGACATTTCTTGGCCATAGGTTTCTATTTGCATTTTTAAGGCTTGTTGATGAGCCACACGAAAAATTCGAGCATAGGAAAAGAGAAGAACTGGCAGTGGTAGAAAATAACTCGCAGAAGCAACAAAATATGCATACCATTTGCCATGCGTTGAAATGAGCCGTAAACTGGCTACAGTGATGGAGTAGGCCCACAGAAACACAATGCACAAACGAGCGCGGTTCTTAGTCAGTTTCGAATGGTAGGTGAATGGAGATGTTATGGCGAAGAAGCGATCCACGCTGATAGCCACTAAGTTCATAATTGAAGATGTCCCGCTCACAATGTCCAAACAAATCCATAACGTGTACAGTTCTTTGTCCTTAAGAGGGTCTGGCCATTGTTTGATGAGGTAAACGAACCAGAATGGCATACACACGAACCCTACTAACAGGTCAGCAACAGCCAGTGAAACAACGAAGTAATTTGTTACATTGCGAAGATCTCGGCAATGATAAAACGCGGCACAAACCAGAATGTTTCCAAAAATTGTAAAGACAATTAGGAAAGCCAACGGTATTGATGCGAGCGTGATGTTTTCGGGTTCAGCTCCAGACGATTCCGATTTTGGATCGAGGATTATAGCTGAGTTGTTAGCTCCTTGCATCTTCTGTTCCTCTTGCTGTTGAGCTTCTGTTCAAGGAGTGTTTAGGACATTGCCATGCCTCTAGAATGAGGAATTATTACTTTAGCCAGCTCGTCGGCCTCTTTCTGTAGCTTTAAAGAACCTCGAAATCTCTCGCAGAGAAGCTCTCTTATGTACCGTTCAGTCGAATTTCGTTATTGATGTTATCTATTATGCCTCAGCTGTGCAAACAATTTTAAACGACGAGTAGACTTGCCGCTAAAAGGTTCTTCTGACTTGTTTCCTTTCGTGCACAGAGAGGCGGATCTGGGCCAATATACGCTGTCCACACTAGCTGTTGCCCGCCTGTCGTAGTCAAAGCTCAAAGTTTTTAGTAGTTTTGAATTTGTCTGTTGCAAATAAACACAAAAACAGATGCCTACTAACTCGAGAGAGTAATTTTGTAAAGAACAGGGTAAAAGCAGTGCAATTTCAAGTAACAAATAAATGGAAACCTGGAGCAGTTCCTTTGTACTGTGACCACGTTCCTGTTATGTAATTACTTTGTCGGACTTGACTTATGAAGACGAGTGTGAAATACGCTGCCAACGAGTTCTTGCGATTAGCAAGAACAGCCTACCTTGTCCACCGCAATGACTTTTAATCTATTATATCTGACGGCAGCGCACAAATCTTATCATTCAACACTTTAAAAATGGTTTTTCGTTCTTACTGCACGAAATAAGTTATCTCTTGCCGGCAAACCCGCTGATAATTCTCTGGGTTGTTCTATTTTCCTTATCGATGTCGGCGGTCTTCACTTTGAAAATTACCAAATCCGGTCAGCTAGAATCCAATCGTTCGCAATTTAAGTCACGCGTCGTTACGAGATCCAGTTGTATGAAGTTTTCAATTTTGTCTCTCCCCTTTCCCGCCTTTCCAATCATGAATGAACAGTATGCTCTGTGTTAGGGTCACGTTTAGTGCTCAATTCAACCAAAAGAAAAGATCTTTAAATGTTTCCTTGAATTGAGCAGCAAAATGTCAGTTGTCAAAATATTTCAATGTCCACCTGCCACGTACATCCAGAAACACACAAGAACTATTCAAAAGCTTACGGGGAAAATAAGAAGATTATCAGAAAATTGATATATACGTACAAATACAGATCTGGCCGTGATAATTGTACACAAGAGCCAACTATTTTGATGTTTCGTGTCGGATGCGAACCACTTGAAAACATCATCCTTTCTTTATTAATATTTAAAACAGAAAAGCACTTCATTAAATGCCGCAAACTCTCAGTGCTTTGATCTAAAGAGAGTTAAAGAAATATCACGTACCTTCCTAGTGAACAGAATTTGTTCTTACAAATCAATATGTATATATAGACCCTAGGCGAAAAGTTAATGTTGCAACTTGCCGAATAATTAACATTTCGCTAATCAGAAGGTATTTTTTGGCTATTACCTAGATTAAAGAATATGAAAGCTTTTAGAAAAGGTATTCAAGTGAGTTTTCGTGGGCACATTTCGTTTGACACTGACCCTGTAATCCCTACATGAAAAGATTTACCAATTAACATTTCATTTTTTGAAACAAACTTACGTGTGTCATGTTTCTATTGAATTTACCTTTCTAAACCGAAGTTTCTGTGTAACATGAAATAATTTTATCTCTCTTAAAACGGGTTAAAGTGCACTTTTATGTAATATTTATTTACTTCCACACGAAGCGGACAGATCATTCTAACGAAGTCATTCAATGCACGCTCAGGTCAAAGAGTACGACCATTGCCTAGCTGTTAAAAACAAGTTGAATTCCCAGGTTAAGGGTTCCGTGTTAACAAAATGGGAAAATTTAGTACTCAAGACACTTAAAAGATAGCACAATGGACAAGAGGACTTATACAGGGTTAGGGAATATTTTAACACTTACTAAACCTCGTGAAAGCCAAGTGCACTGATAAGCAAAAGTTCATAAGGTAACCAGCAATGTATTTCTCTGTTTCAAGCGCCGGCTCAACAAAAACACAAAGACAACCTACGGGAACATCCTAAGACAGTGTTTATATTCTAAGAAGATTCATGCCGTACCTCTTTTTTTTTATTTCGTTTCGTTTTAACTTGGGACTCATCTGAAATATCAAGACAAAAACAAAATCAGAAAGACTTTGGAAGATTTGCTACAGAATTAAAGATTACGAAATACATTTTTAGTTCAGGTCAAAAATTTTTTGAAAGCTAAGCCTTCTAAATGCCACACTTAATCCCTTACAGCCAAAGATTTCTTAATAAAGGGGATAAGTTTCTGAAGAAACTGTGGTGCTGCGTCGGTGGGAGAGTATAACAGGGTAATTTAGTATTATCGATTGAGTTGATAACGGAAATTGGCCACCGTAAAGAGTTTGAAAGCTGACGAGTCGAGCGAAAATTATTTTTACACTGGAATATCTTTCTATCTTTTCCAAAAGTCGCATGATTTTCAATGCTCTTTCCTTCTGTTCTCATGTTTTGTTTGCTTTTCCTGACAGAACAACATGCTTGTACAAACTGAGTTAGTGAACGTTTTACTTAGATGTCAGAGTGAATGAAAGTTAATTGACATAAGGACTGAACAAAACACACTGTAGTTATAAACGGATATGCTATGCTTGCTAATGAGGTCGGTAGAAATTTCGCAAGTTTCAGTGTGTTTATGACTATTAAACGTTCCAAAATTTGCGCTTTGAATGTTTATCAACCGAAGAAATGAACACTACGGGTTTGCATCGATTGTCAGCATGTTCTCCTATACAGGCTGCACGCGCTCGAATGACCCGAAGAGCTTTACTTCCGAGACTAAAATTAATTCCACTCAACTGGCATAAAATTGCGCGAAATTACATGTAACAAAGTCCGTTTTCTGTCTCGGCTAAAATTATGAAAAACAGAATAGGGAATTCAACAGTTTATCGTTGGTTGGTATTCAAAGTCAATAAAAGACTGGGGAAAGATAACGTCATGGTGAGGGTTTGAAGGTATGCCGGGTAAAACAAAACGGAAAATCCTTAAATACCATACTTCCTTCTCAAACCCTTGTCAAGAGAACTGGTAACGAGTCTTGCTGATCGTTAGGACACTGGCGCTTAGCGTAATAAAACAAGTTTAGTTCCAGAATCAGTAAGGGCGAAGGGAAAGCGGGATGGGCATTTACAAAAACTTTCCACAAAGTAAGCAATGCGATGATGTGTTGAAAGAAAGTAAAAAGAAAGCTGGAAACATTCAGTAACATCGTTCACATTAAAAATAAAACTCCCTGAAGTTATAGCATTTATTTGGTTCCCTTACTATTTTTATTTTCTGTCTATTTACTAGCAGACTTTTCTTTGTATTCAATCAATCCTTTCTCTATCAGATCTGGGATTTCTACAGCAAGCCATGGTCCAAGCTGGAAAAATAAAAAACAAGAAAAGTTATACAAGCAGTCTTGCTTGTTGGCCTAAAAACACAGCATCAATCCTCTGCAAACACTTGCTCTAAAAATGTTGGAATTTGAAAATAAATGTGATATATTAATATATACCTGCAGTCTATAGAAGAAGGTGTTGAGAGAAAAAATTATAGGGAAACTTTGACCAAAGGAAATAACAATAGCTGATTTAAAATTTAGTTTTTTGTGTAGTTTTGTAGATTGTTTGTATAAAGTTCACACTAATTAAAACCAACCTCTTACTACCCCACCAGCTTAATTATGATGTTTCACCATGTTGCCTTCTTCAGGTAAAACTTATGGTAGTACTGGAAATACGCTAATACATAATTAGTGATCATATAAAAGGACCTCTTGTTGCAGCGTTTAGATCACCCCTGATGAAGGCACTAGACAGGAGTGTCGAAACGTTGGGTCTATGAATTGTAACTTCTTTGGTTACTTTCATTAAATCTGTAAACCAGAGTAGCATCAAGCCATGTCTGAAGTTCACACTGGTTTGTTACTTTTAGAGGCTCAAGTGATGTTGTTATCTGAGAAAGAAATACATGTGCCTACTGCATCACCTTTTCATGAAAAAACAAAATGCATATATCTATCATTTATACTTCTGGATTCACAACATTTTAGAGAACAGGCATGAATAGGAAGTATAATGATGGTGGACCAAACAAATGACTCCTAGTAGAAGGATCTAGACTAGATACAGTGTCTCTATGTGGATTAATTGATGAGTGTATAAACATGTAGCATAGAAAAAAACATCTAACAACAATTCCAGCTAATGAATTACCAGGTTTCAGCCCCTAGCTTTCTTCAGGAGGAAATAAAAGTAAAATTCTGAAATTAAAAACTGCACTACAGTTTTAACTTCTTTAGTTTCCAGTACTACCATAAGTTTTACCTGAAGAAGGCAACATGGTGAAACACCATAATTAAGCTGCTGGGGTAGTAAGAGGTTGGTTTTAATGCTAAACCTTTATCTATATATAACTGGATTCCTTTGCTTTAGTCTAAGGTACATACCCCAAGAGCCATGGCATGTGCTATTCCAAATTTAGGAACATTTCTTCCCCAGAGAGGTTTAAAGTGATCTGTCATACAAATTTTTCCTCCCCTGTAACATAAAATTCATTATGTATAGACAAGTGTTATTGAGATAAGAGTGGTTTAATTTATCTTTAGGAAGTATAGAAATGAGAAAATCTACATTTTACCTGTACATTTTAGCAGTTTTGCCATCAAGTTCAGGAAGAGCAATCTCTGGTGCAGTTGTAGGATAAGTGATTGGTATCTGGTAAAGGAACCAGCAATATCATAATTTATCAAACAGGCTTTATCACACTATTAAAAGTCATCAACAAGGCTGTTATTAGAAATTAGAAAATGTAAAAGGTGTTGGATCTAAACTGAACTATGCCTGCATATACAGTACCAAGTCCTCCTTGGGAGGTCTGAGAGCATGCTCCCTCACAAAAAAATTGAAATTTGAAACTCTCTGAGATGTGATTCCCAGTATTCTGGCACATAAATGCCTGAAATTTTTATTCCTATCATATTGATTTTAAAATCAGCTCAAATTAATTATATTCTATCTTTCAGGTTTGCTGTTAACAACAGCTGATAGTTTGTGCATGGTACTTCGTGTACAGAGTCATAGCTTTTTCCTTGTTCCATAAAATCAGAAAACTATGATAAGAGAATGACTAAAATAAGCCTCAGATTTAAAAAATGAAAGGTTTCTTCAGATGAAAAATATCAAAATTACAAAATTTCTGAAGCACAGTTTAGTCAGCAAAAAATGGCCTGAACACCTACCAGCTTTCAAAGGCAAACCTTATCAAGAAATGTGTTGGTCAAATTCAGTCAAAGAATATACTTGAATCACATGAAACTTTCCAATCAGATGGACCCACTAAATGAGGGGCCTCATGTCTGCTTCCTCAGCGAGGAGGTGATTTTAGCAGCAATATCTCCAAGTTTTATAATTATGCCAGTTTTGGATGAAGGGGAGGAATAAGAGTGTGTGGCAGAATAGCAGAAATTCATTCATTTTTGTTAAAGAAAAAGCATTAGAGTATGTTGTATCATTATCTCAATAAGAGAAGTTAATTAACAGTGGAGATGCTTTTTTGATGAAGAAAGAACTGGAGCTATAATTTATTGGCTTTAACTTACATCAAATTCTATGTCAAATTCATACTTCAAAAGGTTGTGGACATACCAGCATTTACCAAACCATCTATCAAGTGAACATAAATCAAAGTCAAGTCATGAGCTCTTTGACTGAAAGAAACTAAAAAGGCTGTACAAATTACAAACCACGATTTTTCCAAAAAAACTAACAAAAATATGCAGTTGTGGGTACATGGGAAAAATCAAATTTAATCAACAGAAGAATGATTATGGCCACCAAACCACAAACAAATACCTTGTCCCCTCTTTATTTGATTCCAGCCTGAACCAGTCATTGTCTGCTTCTTTGTTGTTACTTACATACTGAAACAATGACAAAAAATAAAATGATAATTAAAGTTTACTTCTGCCTTTTTTTCTCAGAATTACATGCATGTGAACATAGAATGAAAAATATTTTCAGTTTGAGTTTTTCCCAGACAACTTTTTTCAAACTTGCTACAAATAATTTTAATATTTTATCTTTAATAGAGGTGCTCCTAAAACAGTAAAAACTAAAGTAGGAGGTATAAGTTTAATCTAAAATCTATATTTACGATAATAAAATCCAATTGAATTTAAGAACAATCTAACCTAATTTGTAATAGGACGAAATTCTTATGTTAATTCTAAATTTAAATCAAAAACTAGTTTACATGTACATAATTAAATTAACCATCTGGTTAGCAAAACCTTAAATAGTAAATGATTGAGTAACAAAAAGTAAATAAATAAGTAAATGATGAATGAAAAAATAGAAATAACCAAGGAAATAAAGAGCACATACTTTAAGTAACATTATGCCAAATATCTAATGGTGGGCAAAATTTCTGATCTAAAAACAGAGATACTCTGCAGTGATAAAGTACATAGGAATAGTTGGTTTCACACTAAAGTAGACCTTGGATAAAAAGAAAATTTGTAGACATTACAGTTGCATGGATACAATACTTTATACATGGGTACAATTTGGGAGCCGAGATGCCCTGTCTAGATTAAAAACCCGAGAAGGAAGTGGGATGCCCCTTAGATCTTGCTAGATCTTGTAGAACATGGTTAATCGAGACAGTTATCTACGTTGTTCTGGGGTCCCCCCCCCCGGAGTTGATTAATCATAGGAGAAACATGACTTAATCTAGAATAACCATGTTAGACAAATCTAGTTGCCCTATGTTGAACCATTTCAATCGTGTTAGTATTACGTTTAGTATAAAAGTTCTATGCAGAGCGGGCATATTCTGACGGCGGGTGGACAGGAGTAACAAAGGCTTCCGATTTCACATCTGTAGAGCAGTCACCCATGACTCTTCTTAGAAGGTCCAGTATTCCATTGGCTACAATTGAGGTCACAATTCAACATAATATACCTTAATTAAGCTCATATATTCCTCTTTTAACCTCTGAACCCATGGATCGCCATCACGAGGACCAGCTTTGGTTTTCAAGGTAGGAATAGATGCTACTGTTTTCTTTGTTGCCTCGTCCACCATCTTTGATGTAACAATTGGATCACCTCTTCGTGTAACTAGCAATTCATATACCTAGTACTTCGTGTAATTCGGCGCAAGGTGCTAGTGCCCGGTCCCCTGCATTAACCAAAAAACTCGAAAATTCTACTCAGTTAGTATCCCTAACTTGTGTTAGATACTTGACAGATATTTCTAAGAAAGACAGATGTTTTTCGTCTTGTCACAATCGTGGGATAAGTTCCCTATTCAATTTTTAGCTAAAAATCTGCTTAAAAAATAATATTACCCATGATTGGCCTGCTGTAGTGTATGGATTTGTTTCCAAGCTTCGTGATTTGTCCGCTGCAGTTCGGAAACATGTTCAAACATACCACGCGCTCAGATGGCAAATAATTCAAAGAGCAACAGTTACCGTGGCTGCTCCTCTCTTTCAAGGTGGCAAGGACCCAAGATTTCTTACTTTGCATTTGTAAATACAAACATGATTTTATAAAATCGCCAAGACTTGTACCTCCCAGCAATTGAAGAGATAATTCATACACTTCTTCCAATAATGGACACCTATAATAAATTAAAAAATGGATATCCCGAAAAAAAGTGAAACAAAACAAAACAATTTAGGTTTTAGTGCTCTACCTCAAAGAAAAATTGAGACAAGTTAATTTTTCCTCTAATTTAAAGCTTGGGAGGGAAGACCATATCATGTTAGACCGCAGAATATACAGGGCTTAGATTGAGAACATTCCGCGAGTGAGTGATAGAAAAATAGATGAGAGTTGTTCAAGCGCCACGTGCTACCACAAAACCAGATATAGTGACAATCTCCCTCCATACTTCCTCACATGTCCTCTAGTAGGCGCGACGGCTACGCGAGGTGTATTGTATGCGAGAGTCGTTCGAGGTTCTCGAAGAGATTGAAGAGCAGAGCTCGAGGGTCATATAGTTTCTAGTTGAATGGATTGTTAATGATTACATGGGGTAAATTTTTTGTTATCATTTTCTTTGAATCTAACACATAAGGCCTACAGAACAGTCGCCATTTTTATCAATTTTCCAATTTTGGACGAGTGAAGTCAAGGGCGCGGCTAAGCGGTGGCGAACTGTAAGGGTCACGTGTAAGAGCCGTCAGAACGCGTTCACCTCTGCTCGTTTGAACTTTGCAGTAAAAGCGAATAGATAAATAAATGATGAATAAGTATATAAATAAAGAAATAAGTAATAGAAATGAAAAATATATGAATAACACCTGTTCTGAGGGCTGGTCACAATTAACTAGGTTCAGAGGGAGAGGAAAGAGATAGACTAAATAGACTAAATCAGTTACAAATCGCCCATAGACTAATGCCCCATTCACACCAAAGCTTAAACATGTTTTAAAGTTGTTTTGTTAAACACAGTTTAATTTTTTTTTCTTCATAGAAACTACTTAACCTAATATTGTTTGGCTTAAATGTAGCACACTGGAAATGCAAGTTAGCAAGTACTTGACAATGGAAAATCAATTTTTCAGTTCTCTGTTTATAATTTTCATTCAATGATTCTGGTGAGGATTAATCAGTTACAAACCAGACTTACGACAAAAACCCTACCTTGATTCTGGTGAGGATTTCCTTTCGTTTTGTTGAAGGACAAGTCAATGCCAAGGACAGAAGTCTTTTTATGCCTTTTACAAAGTGCACAATCAAAGTTTTACCTCTGTTTAAGTAAGTGGTACAGATACAGTCCGATGTTGCTACATTAGATCCCCTGATGTTTTTATTCACCTGACCCTTGGTAGAGAAACCAAACGTGTAAAACAATAGTCATGGAACGAATGACAAGAGAAAGATTGTGTTTTATAGATAAACCCAAACTTTAAGTGACACTTTTTATGGCAACTTCTGAAAAGATGATAAAGTTTTAAAATAATATTTCATGTTGGTACCAAAACAACATTACCCAAAATGGGTGATATTTATCTTCAAAATTTGAAAAATTTATATTCATGTAACAAACTTGTTTGTGTAAATTATTAAAACCAGGTGATAAAATGATAATCATTTCAACTGTTTATCATTTGAGTGATTATAGAAATTAATGCTCTTTATATTAACATAAAAGAAAAATCATGTTGTATTTCACCAGGTCATTTACAAGACATGCAAAAATTCATATTTCCCAGTTTTTGTTTGTACATGAAAGGAGTGCAATCTTTTGAAAAGCACTTTGTAGCTCTTGAATGTATGAGAATGTTTAAGACATAAGTGTTTCATCATAATTTCCTTATGAGGAGTCTTCAACCTTACATTTGAAGACATATTACCCAAGTGGCTACCCGTATTATATTTATTAGCAAAACTCTGTCATTCATACCAGCAAGTGAACTAGGAATCAGGTCTGCTTGATAAGGACAGTCAGGAGCCTCCACCAAACACACCTTAATCATTGTCCATCAGCAAGTCTGCAATGTTTGACAGTTGCTTCAAAAAATATTTTCTGTGTCATTGTTACCAGTTATTTTCATCTTCATGGATTTATTTTTAATCTAATTCTCAAACTATTCTTAAGATATGTACTAGTATTTCTTCAACAAAGATTAATTCAGAAACAACTTTGAAGATGTGTCACAAGAGAAGTTCTAGTATCTTACTGTTTATTTTTTGATCTCCAATGTTTGTCTCTGTTTTGGGAAAGAAAAGATAATCTCAAAATTTGCTCATTAATCCTGACATTTCCCTGATGTACCGTTTGAGCCATAAATACCCTTTCATTGGTTCACACACATAGAAAATAATATCTTAAAAATTATTGGAATATTGTTTTCTTCTTGCCACGCGGTTGGAATACTTCCCCTCCGCACAAATATTTTAAGCATAATTTTGATTTGGAGTTACTGGCTCAAACTAGAAATACGCGATTTCAAGTGTATGATGTCACACTGTCGATGAGTTACATACAAAAAAAACACGCTAAACTTGATATAATATTTCAACAAATTAATATTTTTATTAAACTATGCGACACAGAACTCTTGTATCAGTACAAAATATGAAACTCTGGGCTAATTTCTTTCCAATTCCGCTCCTTGCGAAGCTCCGTAATCTATTTCACAATTGTACATGTACAAATTTACAAATTTAATTAAACCATTCCCAGTAAGTGGCGTAAAATAGACGTAAAAATTCTTCCATTCACCAGCCCTAATAAATTCGAAGATAATTCTGTACATAGAAAATGTTTAGCTATGTACAAGAAACATTATGTACCGTTTGAGCCATAAATACCCTTTCATTGGTTCACACACATAGAAAATAATATCTTAAAAATTATTGGAATATTGTTTTCTTCTTGCCACGCGGTTGGAATACTTCCCCTCCGCACAAATATTTTAAGCATAATTTTGATTTGGAGTTACTGGCTCAAACTAGAAATACGCGATTTCAAGTGTATGATGTCACACTGTCGATGAGTTACATACAAAAAAAACACGCTAAACTTGATATAATATTTCAACAAATTAATATTTTTATTAAACTATGCGACACAGAACTCTTGTATCAGTACAAAATATGAAACTCTGGGCTAATTTCTTTCCAATTCCGCTCCTTGCGAAGCTCCGTAATCTATTTCACAATTGTACATGTACAAATTTACAAATTTAATTAAACCATTCCCAGTAAGTGGCGTAAAATAGACGTAAAAATTCTTCCATTCACCAGCCCTAATAAATTCGAAGATAATTCTGTACATAGAAAATGTTTAGCTATGTACAAGAAACATTAAAAACATTCTACTCTAAACGTAATTTAAAAGTTCGTGTGTATGGCAAACGCGATGCAAGTCCGGTCCAATGGGTTGGTGGATCATGTGTTCAGAGTTATCTCTATGGCTTTAAAATACCTCCGTTGGTCTTTTAAAATAGTCCTTGCTGATCCAATGATACTTATCGAAGTTTTCCTTGTTATTAACGCTTCTTGTGGAAAGTATCTGCTTATTGTTGAACTGCGAGCATTGACGATAATCCGTGTTGAAGTAAAAGGGTTGAAGATGCCTTTGAGAGTGATTAGTAAATTGCTGGTGCGGCTGATGGTGTTGTTGTTGAGGGATTTTACAATAAATCGGACAAATCGAACCTTTTCCTATTCTACAAGACACATCTCCTGGGTCAATCCACAATGCTAGTCCGCCTGGGAAGAGCTCTAACAGAACTAAAGGTGATATTCCACTCGCCTTCGTCGCTGTCAGTAACACTGGGTCGATGCCTGTTAGCTCATCGATGTTGATGCATCTAAATGCATTTCCCTTCAACGGCTTCTTCGGATGCCAGTGGTTCTCGAATCTCGCAGTGATTAATTGTTCTAATGTGTCCTTAAATTTTTGAATCTGTTCTTGGTTTACTTTAGAGTTCCTTGAAAGAACCTCCGAGAGGAACTTGATGGCCGAACAAACTTCTTCTTTCATGTTTGTTGACTCGGTTAATTTCTTGGCAACGTTTCTTTTAAGTAGCGTCGCCCCAGTACGTTTTTTCCTTCCCAGAGTAAGCGGTATTATTACAAAGATAATTCTATTCGTTAAGGCAAAACACTGTTTTACCTCTGGTCACCAAGGACTAAAAAGTTTGTGAATAATAATTCCCTCCACTGAGAATTGGTCTATTTATATTGAAAGCTGTTGAGGAACATTCGAGTTTGAATACACTTCGCCGGGGAAATTTTCATGCCAAAAATAGATACTCTCGTCACACCGCACCAATCACTAGCGAGTTTGAACAATAAGTGGTATTGTTACCGTGGTAACCAGGGTGTGTATCTGACGCAAGACTGTCGAAAACACACGTGTTTTGCACGACGTAATCGCTATTGTTTGCTACAATGTTGACGAAGAATATCGTCCACATGGGCGCGTGTCGAAATCCAAGCCACGGAACACAATTTTATTCGAAAGTAAGGGTTTTTAAATCATTTTAAAAAAAACTTCACCTGTGCTATCCTCTTTGCGGTAATTAAAAGCTTCGAAGAGTACATGACGAGAAAAACTGAACATGAAACCCCATTCAAACAGACGTGAGAAGTATCAGCTGATGCTTACCTCACGTATTTTAGCGGGTTACGTCAAGTGAGGTTTAATGATAATACCCGACCCACACCTATGAATTGTATCAAAATCCAGCACAAGTAATTTGTTCGTGAAGAGTAAAAGAAAAAATTTCAACCCTGACTCGAAGAATACTTAAAATTGAATTTCCATTCGAGAACATAAAGAATATATATATTTGAACCGAAACAGTTTCGAACTAATTTTAGCCCATGGAACCGAAAGCATTTGGAACAAAGAAAACTTATCAAAGTAATCATTAACGTATTTAAAAATCCTTCTCTTCTCTAGGGCGTTCAATGGCTCCCCCAAAAAGTTTTTTGAGAGAAGCTGATCGGAAAAGGAGGGTAAGAACACGGCCATTTAAGAGTTACTGTGTTGTTGATCGACAACTTTCACTGTTTTGTGCGAAACCATTTTAATCATATCTTCACTGCTCTCTAAGGGAGATAAGACAATAATGATAGCGGGAAATACTAGACTATTGTTAAGCTCCGGAAGTGACCTGTGACGTACCTAAACAAAACGTGACCCACCGAAAGGTTACTTTCTAAGGCGTGACATATTGCTAGATCCTCCCCTTCGTCAAACATTTATCTTTTGTTTGGGGACGTCTGGCTCCGTTAGTAACTGATTACCTAATGCGTAAGAGGTAGTTTGAAGACTGTAGCGATACTTAATTTACCAGAGTCTGCTTCTACGGAGAGAAGAAATAGCGCCATAGGCTCATTTCCCGTAGAGCGGCTAGTTGTCAAGCCTAAATCAATACAGAGTTTCAGAGTATTAAAAACGTATCATTCCTTGTAACTCCTATGCGATTTCATTACTCCAGAATATGCAAATCATTGACCCCTTTGCACCCAATGGCTATCCTACTCAGGGTCCCCAGGGACAAGGTCCTCAAACTTCCAAGGTCTTATTATTGATTCTTCCTGTCATAAAACTACCAAACCATCATGTAACAGGCACGGTCTTCAGTAACTTATTTACTGATTAAGATTAAAAACTGAACCCTATACCTATTGAGCCCTATACCTTACTGTAACCTACAGTGGCACGTTTTTAGGATCAAACTTAAAAAAAAAAAACAGTATTGTCACTTTTAATTAATGTGAAGTATTTAGTTCTAAAACCTATAACTCAATGATTTCATCAAAATACTTATTCAAATCCACTAACCTAACATACACCTTTTAAAGGTTTGTTATTCCTAAAAATTTCTTATTCTCCTTCCACATTGGAAGTGACTACAACTTGATATACAGTTATACTTTACAACAAGTTTATTCACCTGGATGAACAACTACAATCTCTTTTCCCCAAAGTTACTTTATCTCCTGAATTTGAGTACCATTATATGTACTACAATTACTCTAATTTTCCTCACCATATCTATCAAAAATAACTATCGTTCTTGCAGTGCATTACAACTTGCGGTATCCACCTTGATTGTTGCGGCTACAGTGTCGCCAAATCAAGTAGCCAATGACAGCAACAAGAGCAAGCCCAGCCAATGAACACCCAACTGCAATGGCTACTGTGTGACTTTCATGTTGCCTATTCGGCTGCTTTGTTTTCGGTGGACTTGTAGACGGAGATGCAGTTGGAGTCGTAGGGTGAACACAATTTGTCACTGTAGAGGAGTAGAATAATAGTAGAATCAAATCAGATTCTTAAATGAGAAACATATTGTACTCTTGATAGAAGGGGTAAGTTGGTAGACACCATGGTGTTGCAGCAGCAGGAGAGTATAACAGGGTAAGTTAGTATTAACTGGCTTTTAAAAATCTTTTTTATGGTGGCCAATTTACGTTGTCAACTCAGTTGATAATAGTACATTACCCTGTAACTTGTCAACTCTTACACTAAGGGTGGGCTGAATTGCTATTATTTCATATTCAAGTAAATTAGCCTTTTTTGACCTCCACAACATGTTTAAAAACATTACAGAATTTTCACTGAAAAGCAAGGCCAAGTAGGCCAATTAAAATGTACATAAAGGAATAGCAAATCATGCCCACCATTAAGAAACATGTTGCTGGGCAGTGAGAGAGTCTTTATAATTAGTTATACAAACTCTACAATAACTATCAATTTGAATTTTTGAGCAGCTACAAGATGATTTTGATGCTTAAGTTACTTTTTGGTTTGATCCAGAGCTCCTTGTGACCAGTCATCAAGCATTTCATTCTCCTTTACAAATTACAAGGAAGCTTCCTGTGGGATCCATTACCTAATGCTTATTACATAGTTGCCAGTTAGAACAAAACACAGAAAAAAATAATTCCTACCATTGCCAAAATGCCCACTTTTTACACCAAAGGGTTGAAACTTAAATCTAGTCAAAGTAACTTCAGCACTGGATTTCTTAGCTGTAAGATTGATGGCAGGAGCAGATGGACAGGCATAAGCATCACCGATGCCGGCAGACAGTGCATGGAATGTCTCTTTGACAGAATGGAATACAGTGGTAGAGTCTGTTGTAGAAAAAAAAAAAAAAAAAAAAGAAAAAAAGATCACAAAACAAACAATTTTTGGACAGTGAACTTCTGTTTAGTCAAAAAAAGGCAAAGCTACAGAGCATCTGATGTAGAACTTTTCATGGAAGGGAAAGACACATTTACAAAACAAAACAAAAACATAGGCATGCATAGCATGCCTGAGTTACTTTTTTTAAGCTAGATAGGGCAAAATGGGACATTTTGTGTTCCTAATGTTTCATAATTTTCAAAAGAACAAAAATATTGGATTACTTTGCATCAAGAGAGAGAGAGAGGAAACATAATTTATCTAAACTCACACAAGCATTTTGTGGTCTATTGTCTCTATTGTCTCACTACTTCTAAGCAAATGTAAAAATTCATTGGTGCCATGCTTACTGTAGTCTCCTTCACCTTGTTGTTTGGTCTCATCACACAATGCCCTCTATTCCCTGTTGGGGAGAGAGCCAATGTGTGACAAGACCAAATAACAGTTGCAAAAGAGACTACGCTTACAGCCATTCCTGTGACAAAAGGAAAGTCAAAATTATCTGTGTACAGTTCGTCGCCTCAAAAATATAATTCCACATAATGTTACTCTGAAAGACAGACTGAAACTATTGTATCTCCAATAGACCCTAGCCAAAGATAAACTGCGATCTTGCACAGGGGAAGATACACTGAGCAAGAGAAAAGGATAATATTTCAAAGAGGGATCCTTGATTGGTTGTTGCCTATCTGGACTTTGCCCTGTGTGTGTGAAATATGTGATAAAGTGCAGGTTGTTTACAAGGAATTAACATGCGATTGGGTTAATTCCAAGGTAGCTAAAAGCAAACTTTATTTGTAGAAAAAGTCAAAACGCAGGAGAATGCAAGGAAAATTTCCTATCAGTAGCATTAAGTTTCATGTGAATTTTTTTCAGTGATGTTGGATAATGTGGTTAGAATACTTGATAAAATGTGGGTTGTTTACAGGGAAATGTCATGTGATGGAGCAAAGTCTAATGTAGAATACAATTCAAGCACATTGAAATTGCCTGATATTCATGTCATGCAAATGATTGAGTATGTTCTGATTGAACTTTGAACGTTTTTTCATGGTATGTGATGGAATGTTAGTTTTTGGGCCTGTACATTGTGAGAAAAGGAGCAGAAAAAACACATTTTAACTTAAAATTAATACAATGAAAATAAATGTGAATCTTTCATATCCCAATAAATCTTGACCTTACTTGATGAGGCTCTTGCAAAGGCCACAATCATAACACTTATCAAATGAGCCCAAAATTTCTGGTTAAAGTCATTCTTTGTGCACTGAGCCCCATGATTCCATGACATCATTTATGAGAAAACAATACCCAAATGCTGTGATTGGTCTGTGATATCCAAATGCTGTAATATGATTGCGAGATAATACACTTATGCAGAAATCTGATTGGTGCAAGATACAAACCCTTATGCAGCAATCTGATTGATGCAAGATACAAACCCTGATGTGGCGATCTTATTGGTGTGAGATACAAACCATAATGCGACAATCTGATTAGTGCAAGATACAAACCCAAATGTGACAAAATGATTGGTGCAATATACAAACCCTAATGTAACAATCTGATAGGTACAAGCAACATACCACTCTACAAGCTAACATAGAGTTTTTCTTTTTAATTAAAAAAATTAACTCAAAAAATGTTCTGACTTACTGTTGAATTTCACTGAGAATGTTAAATTAGCAGCCATCCAGTACTGAGTCACTGTATTTGTTGTTGTGTCTTTAGAAAATTTCTCAAAGTGCATGGTGAAGCTACAATCGTGACTGTGAGTGCTCCAGCTTAATTTGATGAAAGGGTGATCTTTGCTTCTGGTGTCACATTCACCACTTGACTTGGCATTTTTTGGAAGCTCGAAGGTTAATTTCTGGAAGAGTAAAGAGAAATCCAAAGACAGTTTTAAGTATATAAATCTTAAAAAAACTTCACACACCAGCTATGTGGCTGTTTCTTGGTTTCCATAGCATAAAAACAACAACTACGATTGCTTACCCTTTATGAGATGCTACTCCTGAGAAGGTTGCCTCTCTGTATTTTGTCAATTTTCCATTATGATTTAAATTTAGGCTCTCTTTTTTTTGGGGTGAGTACATGGCTTTAGGCTACATGGAATTTTTTAAGGTCTGAAAATTAGCTGATTTGTTGTCTTCTCACAAATTCTTAGGGCATATACCTAAGGATCCAAAGGAAACTTGACAATTCACTTTACTTTACACCTTCTTTTGGCTTCTGCACAATTATTGAGAATGGTACTTACCTTTGAACTGGTTGTGACATCAAATTTGGCTGCCATATAAGCAAACAAACAGACTGTACCATTGTTTTTCACTGTAAAGTTGCCTGGTCCTGGTGGGAGTGAGGTAGGTGTGGGATGCACAGTAGATGATGGTAACACAGTGGGCACAGGAGTTGGTCTGATTGTTCCAGTACTTGGTGGCATTACACTGCTGTTAAGTACTGCTGTTGTCATGTGTGAAGGTGTGATAGTCATGTTCTGAGGTGTAACAGTTCCATTAAATGAAGCTGTGACAGTCAAATTGCCAGGTTTGACAGTCTTGCGAGGAGAAGGTACAACAGAGGAAGATGATGATGTAACAGTCACCTTGGTAGAAGTCACAGTCTTCCTTGGAGAGGGAATGGAGGTATTTTTTCCAAATGAGTGTGTGACAACTGAGCTCTGGACAAGATTGGATGCTGAGGTTAGACTACCTGTAGCTCCAACAAACATCCAATGACAAAAGACTGAAAATTTTTAAAAATACATAAAAAACAAATACAGGAAGAAAGACAGAGAGAAAAAAAAAATTAAACCAATTTTATTGGAAATTAATGGTATCCTATTTCTAGACCAGTTACAACTCATTATATAATATGGGGTAAGTCTTTCAGTATCAAACCCACCTGATTATAAGGATGAAGATATCATTAAAGTCCTGCGTACTTCAAACCTGACGAAGATTTTGTTATTCATTATAGTGCATTTTTAACGAGAACTCATTGATCTGATGAAGGAGTCTCAAAACCTTTGCAATAGGCTACATTATTGTCTCTGGGTATGTCAGTTCCCTAACTCTCTAACTTCCAGTTCTCCTTCTTGGACTGATTAGGAACTCTTACATTATACAAAAATAATGATTCTTTCAATCAACTTGCTGCAAGTCTCTCTTTTGCAATATTTCTGGACTCAAAAACCTTTTAACTGAATATCAGTTTTTCCCATCTGCAAGTAAACCTCATTTTCATCAGGAAGTATATGCTCCTCCCTCAAAGAAAAAGTGATGGTCAAAAAGACTAAAACAATATCTCATGATTGGTCATTATTACCTTTTTAAAACCTTCAAAGTCTTGTACTGAAGCATAGCGATTGGTTCAAAGTTCGTATAATATTGTTGCATAGTTAATTTTGCAATCAGCTAACCTAACAACTCTTCATAAACTCCCTGCATGATATACTTACAAGTACGAAATGAAATAAAACTTAGATTCGTCGATTATTGCAGTTCAGTGAAGGTTTACCGCAAAATACTATGGAACTTTATTCTACAAAATAATAACGAGGTAAGCACAATGGGGCTCACATATCAAAGCCTGCTTTCGATTCCAAACTCAATGGCAATCCAGAGAAGTAAAGCTACAGGGTCCAAAATTAATATCGAGGTAAAATTTCCGCACAGCCCCATACTACATTATGCATTCAGTTTTTGGATAGAGAAAACAACGACAAAAAACAATACATTGCCATTGGGAAAACAGATTTGTTTTACAATTGTATGGGACTATGCGGAAATTTTACCCGTTTCAGCTGTAGTATCAGTTGTCTTCCACTGTTCCGCGTCGGTTATGAAACCTCACATCAGCAGAGCTCTGATTATCGAGCATCGATCCTAACATCTTAAATAAGAGAAAAAACTTATCGGAAGAGATAATTTTACCTGAATAGTGGACACAAGCGGCAAACAAAAGGTGCAGGTAAGCCATGATGATAGCCGAAATAGGCACCAGCTAATTAACCACGATGCCAGACATTGAAAGTTATAGCAATCGCAGAGTATGACGTTTACATCACGTGTCTATCTGATGTCTTAGGAGCTTCCCATTTGGCGGTGCCTTTGTGAACCTCCTGCTCGGTTTAAACAAATGGAGGACTCATGTGCATGCCATTAGTTCAGCCGTCAGAGCAGCCCTATCAACCTCTGATGAAATGAATATAAAGTAAAGCCTTTATACAGGACCAAGTGGCCCATGGGGCCAGCACTTAACTCCGGCTTCCTTAGCATAAAGCAGCTAAGAGTATTGCTACTCCCCCCTGGATGGGATACTAGTTCATTGCAGGGTTACCCCCAGCATATTTGCTGGTACCCATTTGTACACTTAGGGGAAGAGAAGCACTGCAAGAATAAAATGTCTTGCTTAAGAACACAATGACCCCAGCCAGGGCTTGAACCACTCAATCTGGAGTCAAGCACACTAACCATGAGGCCAGTGCCTCCACAAGGAAATGAATATGATGACCACTTTTTTACTTCAAGAACAGCTGTTATACATGTTTGTGAGTTCAAATCATTATTAAAATAATAAGCAAATGCAAATAGAATTGAGTAGATTTTTATTCAAAACATCTTCAAACCCTGCATGTATCAAAAACATGGGCACCAACAAACACAACTTTGCTTGGCAGGGGAAAAGAAAAAGAGAGTGGAGAAGCACCAGGGTCACATTGTCTACCTACTGGTCACAATTTTTGGCTTTTGGCATCAAAGGAATATGCAAAGGGAAGGAACTTCTCCATTTTCTCTTCTTAATCCTCTCTTTCCTTCTCTCCCTCCTTCTCCAAATCACCCTTCCACTGCCTGATACAAAAGGTTAAATATCACACATTCTAAACTATGTCTATGATTGTCAAAAAAGGAGTTACAATTAAAAATGTCTTCACAGTATGCAATTTCCTCCATCACAAACATCAGATGCAAGGAATCTCTCATTGCTAACAAAAATTGAGGGTATCAAAAAGGGCCATCCACAACAATATCAGGAAATGTGGCTGCTACTCTTTTCCATGCAATACTCAAATCTATGGCCACATTTACTTCTAAGTTGAGTCAAACAAAACATCAAGATTTAAAAAAAAAGGACTGTATCACAATAAATTGGATTTAGCTTGTTATAATCAGAAATAAAAAAAAATTTTAATTAGTGAACTAGCAATCTTTTATTTAATTGATTTTATTTTGTGTGCTCCTTCTACTGATTCCTCACACTGACCAGTTGTAGCTTTGACTCTAGTACATACATGTATCTGTTACAGAGGGTAAAAAACAAAAAACAAAAAAAAAGAAAGAAAGGGAAAATTTCCCAATAGTATGGTGTTACCAAAATAGGAAATTGTACTGACAGGAATGAAAAGCCAATTTTTGAAAGATTATTTTTGTCTCAGAGAGCTTAACATCAAGAAGAATTTAAAATCAGGTTCACACAGAGGATAAGACAGAAAGTGTCCAGAAAGAAGCACAACAAAATGACCACACTAACACATGGCTATCAACAGGTATATTTCATGTGTGATCATTGTTTGGCGCAAGCTTGTTCCCCATAGATCTTCCACTAGACCTTCTCATATCCACGGTGACTCTTGCGGCGGCCGATGACATAAGCAATCAGTACAATGAGCACCAGACCAGCCAAGGCACAGCCCACTGCTATTGGAACAATATCACTGTCTGAGCTCTTATTATGAGTAGGAGTTGGTGTGGGATGGTCCTGGTAGCAATCTTTGCCTAAATAGGAGGAATTGGGTTTTACTTCCATTCCAGAAAGTTACGCAATCAATACATTTGTAATCAGTACTACAGTGCGAAAATTATGTGGCCATCTTTGTAAGAGCAGTCCAGAGCATTTCACAACGCAAAAAAGGTTTGCCTCAAACTTTGTCCATTAAACTATCTTTGGTAGTAAGTAAAGAAAACCACAATTATTGAGAGCTCTTAATAATCAAAGCTGCAAAAGGCCCTTTAAGATCTCTAGTGACATTGAAAACTTCAAAAGCTGACAAGCTCACTCCTTGTAACACACTGCATGCAGCAAGAAATCATTTGTATTCCTAGATTTTGTGATATCTCAGGGGTTTAGAAAACATTTCAATTTTGATGTGTGTTTATTCAGAGGTTTGCCAAAACTTTTGAAAAAAACACCAATTAGATAGCTTTCTGAAATTGGTCAAAAGTACTCTTTCTTTCTCGAGTGCTATTTCTCAAGTCCAGACTGGACCATTTAAAAAATCCAGTTCATTTCTCCTAATAAGCTGTTTGAAAGCATAGAAATGTAAAAACATCTGGCACTTATTAATTTCCTTCGCTGTAGTGACTTCAAACTTTTGACTGATTTTGCTTGTGTGACAGCAAGATTATGCAATTTAGTCTGTTGAGCTTGATTATTGAGCACTTGCAATAATGGTAGTTTTATTTACTTCCTACCAAAGGTAGTTTAATGGGCAAAGTTTGAGACAAAACTTTTTTCTGATGCAAAATGCCCTGGACTACGCTAACAGAGATCGCCACATAACAAGAAAATACAATCACCTGTGACCACCAGATCAATGCTACAGAATCACCCAAATGTTTGTGTTTACATGTTAAAGAAATGTACAAATTCCCACTAGAGAAAACATTCTTCCATTCCCCAACACAACACACCCTTTGTAGTCAAAATTCAAATTGCTGTGTAATTTTAAAATTTGAATTTGAACTGGGCATATAGCCCCCACCAATCATTCACAATTTAATTTCCAAATTCATCAGTGGCTCATTGGATAGAAGGGGTAAAAACTCTAATACAAACCTGATCCAAAGTCCTCAGAGTTTTTCTGCACAAATGGTTCAACCTTCCAATCCATGAAATCTGCTTGGACTTGGTAGTCTTTCTTACCTGCCGTAAGAGTGAATGTTGTGTCTTTTTTGCAGTAATAGTAGCTACCATTCGTACCACTAATACTAGTATTTGGGAACAGTGTATATGAGGCATTAACCACTCCCTCTGCAATAAAGGAAGAAAGAGAGCCATTAGTCATAAAATTGTGTAAAATTAAAATACCTTCTCATTCCTGAATGCAATCTCAAATATTTGATCAAACACACACACACACACACACAAAAGAGCTTCTCAAGTTTTCCTGATTACTTTAACCATTTACTCAAAATACTGTGGAGATTTAGTTTTAAACTTAATACTCAACACCCACAATTATTCATGTTCTTCTGAAAGGGAAAACTTCTGTCTTTCCTATTTTTTCTTTTTCTTATCGTACTTTCTTATTAGTGGTCAAACTTATTAACTACTTCTCTGATGGGTTTATTTATTTATCTCTCACTGTCTTAACAATCTTGATTCCAATGTAAACATTTATTGAATTTTAATAACATAGACAATAATAACAACATTATTAATGATAGGTAATAATTAATCACTGAAGTAAAAGTACATATCCACCACTTACACTCATACCAAGGTTAAATAACTGTTTCAGAACATACCAAGCAGAAACCTTAAATTAGCTATTTCTGTCAATTTAGAGAAAAATGGTAGGCCCTCCACCTCTTTTTGTGGATGGTACTTGCTATTCTAGCAACAAAATAGCCAAATGGCATGTGTCAAAAACGGTATTCACCTGAGTGGTATGCAAAATGACGTGTCAAAAACACTATTCACCTAAGTGGTATATACTCATTGGAAATATTCAACTAGGGAAACTTCTTCAGTCACTCAACATTTAACACTGCATCTGTTGACTTTTATTAAAACTTGACTGGTTATTACTATCATCATAAATTATTGGTATGTTATTACTATATCTTCATTATAATTATCATCATTCTTATGACTACCATTATCATTTCCCCTATCATATCATCAAAATCAATATTACAACCTGTGGCATTTGGGAACATTGGGTTGTTCTCGAGGTTGGCCAGGAAAGACACACTGCTCAACCGCCAGGTGGAAGAACTGTCATTACCGGCAAATTCAATTGACAAAGTGTAAAATGGTCTTTGTTTCGTCCATGTTAGACTCAGCATCCCACAGTTACCTGTAATGTTCACTGGCACAAGACTGTTAAGGACAACAGTGCCCTGCAGAAAAATAAAAACCAACACAATAGATAATAAACGGTTAAGAATATATGAAAGTCATATATTTGAACTGCGGATAAAGACGTGAATGAAAGTGATCCTCGCAGTAATGTGCACTACTTAGGCAGTAGTGAAAATAAGGCCTGAAAAAAATTCAGGCCTGTATGGGATTTGAACCCATGACCTCTGCGATACCGGGGTGGGTTTATTTAGAACCAACAGCAAGTGCCAACCCAAGTGGGTTTATCTAGAACCAACATCATGACCAGCTCCCAGTTGGCTTGTTGGCTCAGTTGGTAGAGCGCTGCACCGGTATCGCAGATGTTATAGGCAAGGTACCTTCCCATCAAAGTATCAATTTGATACATTCTGCTTAGTTGTAGCCTTTCTATTGAAATAACTTGCTTGAGGATAAAACTTTTATCCTGTACCACCAAAAAAAAAGAAATTTCTCTAGCTTTAGCATCAACAGGAGAAATCCAAGAATGCTCCAACAAGAATAACATTGTGCTGGTTAAATTGTGGAAAATCCCACAACATTAATATTAAAGGAAAATAATTGGTTACCACACATACCTTAGCCTTTGTTGTATTTGTTTTGTTTCCTTCCTTAACACGTTTCACATAACTGATGGTAAATTTTGCCTCAAACTGAGCCAGCAAGCAAAATTTCCCATCCTTTTTTATAGTATAATTGCCATATGAGGGTGTTGGTGTTGGTGTTGGTGTTGGTGTTGGTGTTGGTGTTGGTTTTGATGTTGTTCCATTTGTTGTAGCTGTAGTTGTTGTTCCATTTGTTGTAGCTGTTGTTGTTGTTCCATTTGTTGTAGCTGTAGTTGTTGTTCCATTTTTCGTTGGTGTTGGAGTAGTTCCATTTGTTGTCGTTGTTGGTGTTGTTCCATTTGTTGCAGTTGTAGGAGTTGTTCCATTTTTTGTTGGTATTGGAGTAGTTCCATTTGTTGTCATTGTTGGTGTTGTTCCATTTGTTATCACTGTTGGTGTTGTTCCATTTGTTGTGGATGCCTGGGTTGATGACCCCCCTAATACCAGAAAAGAGTTCATCAAGACAGGGAAGGGCAATACAAGATTTAGGGAAATACTCGATATGGAAACATTCCAATAGAGGGAACATAAAACAGCCATTTTTGAAACGACAAATACTACAAAATGAATAGGATCATTTTTTAACAAAAAAAACTGGAAAGTGCATATGATAAATTTCTTGGTATTCCTACATTTGGTAACATACTTCACAATGAGGAGTCCAGAACCATTGCCATTACCAGACATTTTGAGCCTGCTAACAATTATCAGCGGTATATCATATTACACTCCGGAACAATAGAATATCAAGAGAATTCAATATGGCGATGATCACGGCTCGATCTGCAAAGAAGCCTGTTTCGTACCATGACTTACGCAATTTGAGCACCGCAGATCTTCTATTTGATGAAAAGAAAAAGAAAAGACCTGCAAGTAAATCTTTTGGATTTTTCGAGGCAGAGCGATGACATGATGTCAGAATTTTGATTTGCTTTTATTAAACTTTTGCACCAAGACTACTGAATTTGCATTTAATGCCTGGCATGTTTTTATTTCGAAAAGGACCTGAGAACTAATTTATTTCCCAGCAAGAACATAAACAAATATGGCTGATGATTTGAAGATCAGCATTGCTTGTGTTTAACCATTTCAGTCATAATTATCAACATGGTGTCTCGTCACTTACTCAACATGGAAAATAAGGGATATTCTGGCATGTTGGGAAGTTTTTTTGATGGAAGGAAATGACAATTTTACAGGATATTTTGACGCTTCAAACTCAGTAGCAGTCAATTCGATCGAGAGCAGTTGACTTCATTGATACACTTTCCTGTAATAGTTGAGTGTTTGGGATGGAGAACGATGGATTGCATGGCGACTTAGGTCAATGAACAATGACAAAAGAACGGACTCGGGAAGTAAGAGGTTTTTATTTATCGAGTCACTGCGAGGGTTGATGAATAGCAGAATCAGTACTGAATATGTCTCGATCGATAGCAGACGGGACCATGAACTCCTGATTGTTATATTTTAGAAATTTTACAAATTTCCATACAGTTTGCTATATTTTTTGGACGCCATGATGGACGAAATGCGCAAGCGTGGCCACCATCTTGTCCAATATTTCTGCCAATGCCTAAGTGCAATATAAATAACTGCAACTTTCTTGCATACAAATTTTGCACTCCATGGCTACATTGCAAGTCATGTATCCGCTCTGATAAAAATAAGAGACTTATTTTATCCCGATATGAGGAACTTTCCTAGACACTCGAGACACGCAATTGTCACAAGGCAATTGAATGACAACTGAAAGGGGAACCTTCAGTTGATACAACTCAAAGAAGGCGGGAGAAAAAGAAATATCGCGAAGAAAACTCCTCTATCTATGATAGAATGTGTCCTCGCGGTATAAAATACATCACGAATCTAATTCAAGCCAAGTTGAGGACTAACAGCTACTGCACTATCATGATCAGATCACGTAATCGATAGTGGAAGTCCCTCGCTGAAACGCGGACTATAAAAACCTCGAAAAAAAGAATTTCATCACAAAAAACAATAAACTACAAGTTAGATTTCTCTCACTTAAGAACTTATGTTTCCAAAATAAACTTAACTCGGTGGCGCCTTCATGAGTGTGCGTATTTGTCGAAAGTAACAACCGAAGCCTCTTCTTTGCAGCGCCACACTCGACCGACCAATGTTGAAGGGATATTAAATGTATTCTTAGAAGTTAGACAAGCTTTACTTACCAAAGGCAACACTCAAACAGACAAGGGCTGCACAAAGCCTCAACATCTTAACCTTATTCACTTTTTTCAGTTCTAAAGAGGTTGTACCACGCCGCTACTTGCGAAAGAACCCTTTTCCCGGAAAGAAATGAAGTAGTGAAAGTCACATGACGAACATGAGACCTTCTCCCAGAATGCAGTGTAATCGCTAGGTGGGGCGGTCACAGTTATATTAAGATTTTTAACTGGCTAACATATCCTGGTTCTGTAAATCCAAGATCTGAACATAACTGGTACATCACCCACGTTCGGGGCAAACTTCTCCGTCACTTTAGTCGTATGATTCCAAATGATTCGTCAGGGGAATCATGTCGAATGAAGGAGCTTCATAACCCGCTTTTTTCTGGGCTTGACGCTGTCATTGAGAAATTTTAGGAACGCCTTTAATAATGTGGCAAAAAAGGATAAAATTAGTTAATTTTGAAAATTATGTTTTCAAGTTCCCAGTTTTAAAAAGGGTTTATATGAGTATTTAGGGTGGGTTGTGGGATTACTTGCAATATGATTAGCGTTGCAAAATTCTCTTTTTCAATGGGGTATTCAACAACTCTTCAGTACAACCCAACTTAGTTTATGTACTACTGATCGGTAGCTCTGACTGTTTCTACTCCAGATCAGATCTCCAGGCAAGTCATGTAATCGACAACATGCCATTTGACACGCCGTTGAACTTTCGACTCCGTACTATAGCGTGACAGTGACGTGACGTACTGGGCTAGGTAATCCATGGATGCACAGAGAAAAAAGAATGAAAGGGAGACGCTAGAGTACAAACTGTAAAAATTTTGAACATTTTTATTGGCTTTTGACACTCTCTACCATAGAGGATTACAGGAAGATTTATTTAAAAACAATTACCACAAGTGCTTATTAAAAACTTGTCACTTTATGACACATATCTATCATAAAATAATAAGTACTTATCAAAAAGATTATGAACAATTGAGAATGTACGAACATAATCTCAAAGTTTTTACGAAAGCAGGTGGTCCTTAGAATTACCATAGTATGTTAGTCAAAATGTGTTTATCTGAATTTATATTGAAACCTTGGGAATCAAGCCACAAGAACAATTTATTTGGATCAACTTTTTGCACCCATTGCATGCCAGTAAAATAGGCTAGAGTGACTGCTCTCATTCACCCATTTCATTCCCTTTGTTTAGTCTTCGTAATAAGTAAAGGATGCTTTCCACCATTTTGCTTTAAACACACTCATTGCTTACCCTTACTATTGACAGCAGATGTAAGCAGAGTTCAAAGACTTCCACCAGTTTTTTCCCTGATTGTACCTGCAATTTCACTGTACAGTGTCTGTGTATTTCAAAACCTTCTAACAAATCCAAATCAACCCTTAAATCTCACTAAAATCACTTATTAAAGGATGTCATACATTTAGTTTGATACAGTAGCTCTCTATTAACGATTTCACATCAAGATAACATAATTTAGTATACACCAAAACAGTGGATAGCATTGAAGGCATGCTCTGATTGGCTACTCAAAATCTGACTATCCATTGATATTCACCTCTAGCAATTTGCCCAGGATTTGGGCACAAAATCAAGGTAATTGTTGCAGGAATTAAAAAAAACATCTTTATGTGGTGTATCATATCACTGTTCATATCACAAAACAACTGTTCATTAGGCAAATGAATGAAGGGAGTACGTTTCTAAATAAACTGTGATGCTGTGTTAGTGGGAGAATAAAATGGGGTAATATAGTATTATCTATGAGTTAATAATGGTAATTGAACTGAGTGGGGTGCAATTTGGGCTGAAATCATGTGATTTTAAAATTGAAATCACAAGTATGATTTCAGACCAAAATTGCACAACACGAGGTTCAGTTACCTCTTTATTACATTCATTTTGAAATCACCCAAATACTTGGACTTGGTCAGTTCAAATATTTTATTGATCCAGTACTGAGCCCGTTCAAAATTAAATTCATCCATTTTTGGGGGAAAAAAATAAGAGTTTTAGTTGGAAAATTCGCCACTTGATACCCTGTCTTTCATTTTCTTACAATTTGATTACTTACTTTAAAAAACCTTTGAAATCTGATTGGTTGTTTTGTTTTTAGTGTAGCCTCCTCATTGGCTAGGAAAAAGATGCCATTTAAAGCAAAAAATGGTGTGATTCATAAATAAATCACACCAATTAGAGCCAATCAGATTACAGGGACCACCAGTGATTTCAAAATGGGTGTATTAAATAACGTAACTTGACCACTGTAAAGAGTTTCATAGCTGATGTTTTGAGCATTGGCCCTTCGTCAGAGTGAATGACGAAGAGCTAATGCTGGAAACATCAGCTTTGAAACTCCTAATGGTTGCCAATTTACATTATCAACTTGTTGATAATACTACATTACCCTATTCATTTGGCAGCTTAGTAAATATCCATCACAAGCAAACTCCACTTTGGTAAATAATTGTCATTTAGCTGTCATCACAGAAGATGTTTTTTAAAAACAAATCAAGACTGCTTTAATCAAAACAGAGATTGAGAGTGATATCAAATATTAATAAAAATGTAATAACCACTCTTTGTGCCAGAAATTGTGTTGATTTCGAATAACTCAAAAATTCATTAGAAAAAATCAAAACATGGTATGTTGTTGTTCAGGATACCACTCAATTCAAGTACCATACTCCATTGTAAAGAACAGTCTTATCACTCTCACATTATTCTCAATCACAATAATAGTAGACAACTACACAAAATTGTAATCACATTTTTTCATAGCCAGTTCTCTTGCAGCGGCCTACAAAGTATGTAATGATAAGAATAACAATCAACCCAGCTAACACACAGCCCACAACAGTTGGTACAATAGTGTCCACAGGCTCAGCTGGGTTTTTACCGGGTGTTGGAGAGCAAACATCAGCTAAACACAAAAAGGAATACAATAAATCAGTGGTAATATAATTTCCTCCAATAATGGTAAAATTCTTTTGATTCAAGGCTTGCACAAATTATTTTTCTTTCAAGTGCAATCCATCTGAATGGATTAAAACAATCTGCCTACTCAGTTTAAAAGAGCAATTATAACCCTTTCACTCCCAAGATGTAGAGAGAGAAATTCTTTTAACAAATGAAGGTAGTTTTTGGCTGGTCAAGAGGATTGGGTATCTTATCTCGTTGCTAAATTGTTAATAAATAATCAGCTGTTAGAATAAGCTGGTTACCAGTGCATTTCACCCTCTTATCTGGAAAAGGTACCATATATTCTGAGCCCTTGCCTGCATGAGGGGGGCTTTCCACCTCTATGGGAAGGTACATTTTTTATTGGGAGGGGGGAGGGGTGGGCTGGGGCTTCGGAGGGGAGGGTCATTAGTAAATTTTTTACAAATTGGGGAGGGTCAAACCTGTTTTAATAGCAACTGGAGAAGGGTCTCAGGTTTTTCTGGCAAAGAAAAAGTTACTCCATGTAGCTTAGTTGACTCTTATTTGTTAACAAACACACAAAGTGTATAGAAACCTAAATCTTGCATATACAAGCAAAGCTACTAGTCAAGATTAATCAAATTATTTACAGGTGTCGAAATATTATATAAAAAAACTATCTTCTCCCAACTAACATGATGGTCTCTCTCAACCCCTGCCCACTTTCGTCCATATTTTGACAGCAGTAATGTTTTCTGCACAGGGTTCTGGTATTAAATCAGTCTCCGGTGATAATTGGTCACTTGAGCTACTTGGGCTTGAACTGACAACTCGATCTACTACATCACTTTGCGAGTCAGTTTCAACGTCAGAAAGTGAAGAAAAATGTACCTTCCCTGATACCTATACTTTAGTTCACTATCCACTAACTCAAATACTTTTTTACAACCCTGTATAATTAGAAGGTTTCCATGAGGAAAAGTTATAACATGATCATTCCTGAGAGTCAAAGGTTAAGATGGCTCCTTTTTCCCTACTTGCTTCCTTCTGCTCTTTAAGAAAAGAAATTTACTGAAGAATATAATAAAAATTGATCCTAAGCCTTGACATTAAATACAAAGTTGATACACAACTTTACATGTATGTACACCTTAGCCCTTCCACTTCAAACATCCAAGAATCAATTCTCTACACTGTCTTCTATACATATCAAACAATTTTAGAACCAAGAACCATAAGTTCAAAAAAATAATATCCCCTGCTTGATATTTTCTTTACTCTCATCCCCTTCCTGCTTGAAAGCGCACTGACATTAGAGAGAGAAAGTAATGTTTGGTCACTCTTGGGAGTGAAAAGGTAACAATTGCGGTAACTGAATACTGAACAAAAACACTCTCTATTTTAATGCCACAGATCCTACCTTCACCAAAGTCACTTCCAAATGGCTGCACTTTTATCTTTTTTATGCTAACTGTGACTTTACTCTTCCCTTCAAGTGTTATGTCCAGGCTCTCACTGCATTTAAAGCTTTTCTCTTTTGTTGCTGTCATCATCAGCTTTTCAGAATTATTTTGAGCTGCACTCACTTTCAACTCTTCATATAAAAATATACTTAAATTGTTAGTTCATGACTTTCTTGAAAAAAAAAAAAAAAATTGCCACAAAAGCTATTTGGTGCTCTGAGATGTTGGGCAGTTTCTGGGCTTTTAGCAAATTTCTGATTATCCCACCACCACCCTTCCCCCATTATTATCTGTAATCAGTAACACAGCATACGAAGAAGCCATCACACTGTACTAATGGCTTTTACTGACAGTTCAACTATCAATAACATGAAGTATTTTTTTATGTTCATAAAACTGATCCTTAAACTCTAGATGCACAATTATTGTACGTTGTTCTTGAGTTCCAGAGGTTACTTCAAATTTAAAAGAATAGGGGAAACTTAAAGCAGTAATGTCACTGACCACTCCCATTGATGTCTTTAATATAGGTAAAAGCCAGGCTGGTAGTTTTCCATTTGTCCTTCTTGGTCAAAAATGTCAAGGAGATGGTCATGTTGGCTGATTCTGATTTCCAAGCAAGAGACACAGATGATGTCTTCTCTCCACAAGTTCCACTTGGAATGGCATTCAGTGGAAGGTCAAAAGTCTCCTAAAGATTTCAAGCCTTTATCAAGTATTGATCATTTGGTTTTACAACATTTATTTCAGCTTCCCAAATAGTCAATAAGTCATTGCTGACATCCAAACAAAACTTTCTAGTGGCTTCAGCTCTATCAAATGTCTACCATCTGACTTCAGCTACTAGCCAAAGTGACGATTTTCTTTTTTAACACCCAAAACCTTTGATCTTTAAATTTAATCTAGGATCTTGTGTTTACTAATCAAAATGCCCTCTAACACAGGCTTCATATTTTTTAATCCCTCAGTGTCAAGTACATAACTGGCTAGCAGGTACTAGATGTTTCAGATTTATCAACCCTTCAACAATATCTTACAGCCGTAATTGTTTTTCTTCAATACCCCTTTCTTTAACAGTAAATAACCAGCAAAACATGGTTATTGCACCATTTTGAATGCTCATCATAAGATCATCATAGCTGAAAAACACTTGCCTCACTTTGTAGTTGTAAGGTCACCACACATGAGATATCTAAAAGGAGGCAAGGTTTCCCATCTGCCCCTGATATATTGAAATGACCATATCCTGATGCTGGGCTTTGTGTCTTGGGTGGCATTGTAGAGAAATCCACTGTTGAGGATGCAATAGTTGATGTAGATGCCTTTGAAGGCGATATTGATGAAGAGACCATAGTGGATGTGGAGTTTGCTGTTACCTCAGAAGTCAAATAAAAAATTACCAGACCTGAAAAAGCAAAGTTAAAAAGTGAGGGCATTTTCATCTTGAAAAATTATGTGAAAGGTTCACTATTTTCTATGATTGTTGAATTTTTGAGGGGAATGTTATCTAGATCTGTGTATGACACATAATTGCTTTTACTAAAAGGTATGATCACAATTATTTCATGACATGCCACATGTCTGGAAGTGAAGTGAGTGAATTAAATCCACTGCCTGTCATAATACTTTGAGTAGACGATAGTACAATGGTTACAAGTAATGTGAATATTAATCTCTATTAATATGAATCTAGACATTGATAACTGAGAGGCCTGGACTAGGTACAGGTAGGATATAAATTAGTATTTTCCCTTTTCTTTAAGATTGAACAATTTGTTCAGTATGTAAGTCATAAGATTTGGGTAGAGCCAATGGCTATTCACCACGCTAACACATTTTAATTGCAAAATTACTTTAGTATTACCACTTGGGTATCTGTGCACGTGTTATTAGTAATCTAGCAAGCAAGCAAGCAACAAGTTAATTTCTAGCTTTAGGGAAAGTTTTAGTTTCCCTCCTACCCACACCACCGACAGTTTTGATTGTATCTTAATCTCACTCGTGTTTGTAATATATTCCTGATTACTGGATCAATGGTTTAGTGTATTTGTCCAATATCTTTGTTATGTAGTAGTCTAGTGTGTTATTTACGTAGGATATATACATTTAATAAACTGTCTGGTCTCAAAACAAGCCTCTGTCTGTTGTGGTGTTTAGATTATTTCTAGATTTCAACTTGTTCAGCACAACACCTTTTTAATATAGAGTGATCATCTAAAATGATTTTTCATCTAACCTATTTAAATTGAATTATTTATTGCATTATTTTCGTCATATACGAGCTGGAAGAGAGTAGTCACATCCTACCCTAAATTAGCATTTTGTTGTGGTAAGAACACATCTCTATTCGCTGATTATTTACAGAAGAATTACGAAACAATTGAGCACATAAATGGAAGCTTGGAAAATCTTGAGAAGTACAATAAATGGGAATTTGTTCTTACTCTCCCTTGCGGAACAAAATTCCAGAATTTATCCCTTTCACACTTACGATGTTTTTCGCCTTACCAGCCCCAGCAAGTCTGGTGGGGTTGTTGTGCAACTGGTAACCTATGGTGTCCTATACAGCAAAGGTCCCATATCCGAATTGTGCAAGTCGTAACAGACCAGGAGTCGATTCTTCGTTAGGAGAATCGACTTAGAAATGCACAAGTAAAATTAAAATTAAAAAACACTGAAGTTCAGCGAGTAAATAGGTAAAGACACTGAACCAAGACATCAGAACACTCACCGACAAAAACAGAAGGATACAGCTGAAACAAACAAGCTGTTCTCTGCGCCATTGAAGTGAATTGTGTGGTAAAAGGGTGCAGGCAGCTTTTTCTGAAATATTGTCTTCCAAATTGGATACCAGAAAATGAAAAGTATGCTTTTGACGGTGATACTTCTTGAGCACTACACAACTAACCCTAACCTAATAATCATCCACGCTGAACGAGAATAACAATCCCGTAAAAACTAATCACATGACATTGGCTGACTTACAAAAATACTTAGCGGGGAGGAGTGGTTGTCTGTTGCCTTTGTAAGAGCCCTGACCTATTTTAAGAAAAGGGAACCGTTCATACCCTCCCTAAATAGCAATGCGCCTTCTACGCTAGGGCCCTATCTAGAGCAAGGACTTAGACCTCACCTTCTGTTCTAAAACAATCTTCTCATGAGATTTTTTGGTAAAACATTTTATGAATTGTCTTTTGTCTTGAATTGGCACAAATTTGGGCATAATCAAGACCAACAGATGGAAAAGCTGCACTCTGTCTGATACAATGTTCTTTAAGTGCATTGGGATGGAGTGCAATCTCTCATAGAGGCATGGACAGGCTTATCTACTTCACTCATTCAGACAACTTTTTTACAGGTATTTTATTATATTCCAGAGTTAATTTTAAATCAATTATTCCTCTCCATTAATAACTGAAGGGAATCAAAAATATGTCAGGATCTCCTTTAGCTGTGCTGTCACCCAGGATCATACTGCTGAGATATTTACAAACTTGAGACCCTTCACAAACTTTTTGTTAAAAAAAAATAAGAAGATAAAAATGATGATAAGTTTGTAATTCCTCAAGGTAATACTTCATATGAACTCCTAAGCACAGTTTGATGTCTGAGTAGGGTGGGTGGGGTCAGAATGTTCTCTCAAAATTATTTGAGTGGCCTTGAAAACAACACCTTGTCGTAATATTGCCATCATATCCCATTCCCTTAAATAAATTGGGCACAATGCCCAAAAGACAGGACAAAATATCTCAACTAATGCACCAGAGTGAAGTATGTTTACCCATTCTCTCTTCCCATTTCAAAGCAGAAAGATGAGCTCATTTCCCAAAGCCTAGCCTAGTGCAACTCCCACTTTCTCTGAGCATGCCATGTATTCACAAGTGCTAATCTCAGAGGGGAAGAGGTTCTAAACATTCAGTTTGGTTGTCACCCTTGACCTGTAGATTATGCTCTTCCACTGCGACAGTGCAATTAAGCTAGGCCATAACTAGTTTTTTATGTAACAAGCACCTTACATGGCACCAGAATTAGAAATATCAAAAGCATTGCGTGATTAATTAAATCAAGAAAGATGGTAAATATACATAGGAATCTCAGTCGTACTAGCTGATCTTAAGTCTACCTGGGCCAGTTGTTGAACGTCATAGATACTGGCCACTACAAAGTTACAAAAAAGTTTAAACAGTTCACATGTACCATTTATCTGCTTTCAATGTACAGGAGTAAGAATTAATTTTAACGACGGCATTATAGCAGTTAATTGCTGTTCTAATTTCACCAAGGAAACATATTCTAGCTTAGTAACATACGAACAATTCCAGTTTAGCTTTTCATTATCACAGTAACTTATTTTTTTCACCGAAGGTCATCGTCATCAAAGAGGTCCTCAAAATCTATCGTGAAGAAAGACAAAGATTTGTAACAACACTATATTCATGAATCAATATGAGATATATTAAAATCAAAACAAATGTCTAGGAAAGGAAGATGGAAAACCTACTATTGAAGAAATCACCATGGACTGCTCTTTCATTAGCTGCTAATTCTATCAGCATTCCACCACTTGATGCTGCCTAAATAGCACAAAGCAAAAGAAAAACAAGAGAAAATAACAATGGACGAAATAAAAGGGTACTGAAAGGGTATCGAAAAATTAACTAAAACCGACATGTTAACTTTTATTTTCCTTAAAGTCGAAACAATTTCAGAATTGAAGGTTGTACTGTAGTGAGTGGAAGCTCACCTCGTCCATTTCCATCCATCCAGCATCTCCATCGGGAAACATTTCGTCCTGGGCCACAACTGCTGGTTTCATTTTGTCTTTTTGCACTTTCGGCTATTCACGTAGATAAAACCAAGACAGGATGTTCCAACAAACCACGTGAATATGATTATAGTTTTGGTAGGTATGTCATGTATGGGTAATTATTATGTCCTAGATACATATTGTGTCCTATACTTTACATACATGTAATGTACTTTATATACAATACCACACACATACAGCACGAAACAAGGCTAGATACAGCTATACACAGCTCTACAGGGCTAAACACAGCTATACAGGGCTACACAGAAGTATACGCAGCTATACAGAGCTATCCACAGCTATACAGGGCTATACACAGCTAGACAGAGCTAAACACAGCTAGACAGAGCTAAACACAGCTATCCGAGGCTATACACAGCTATACAGAGCTATACACAACTATACACCGCTATACAGGGTTATAAAAAGCTATACAGGGCTATATACAGCTATACAAGGCTATATAAGGCTATACAGGGCTATACGCAGCTATACAGAGCTATACAGAGCTATACAGAGCTATACAGAGCTATACAGAGCTATACACAGCTATATATAGCCATATAGGGCTATACACAGCTATACACGGCTACACAGAGCTATACACAGCTATACAAGACGATACACAGCTATACAGGGCTATACACAGCTATATAGGACTAGATACAGCTATACAGAGGTATACAGGCCTATACACAGCTATACAGGGCTATACACAGTTATACAGGGCTATACACAGCTATATAGGGCTAGATACAGCTATACAGAGCTATACAGGCCTATACACAGCTATACAGGGCTATACACAGTTATACAGAGCTATACACAGCAATACAGGGCTATACATAAATATACAGAGCTAAACACAGCTGTACAGGACAATACACAGCTATTCAGTGCTATACAAAGCTATACAGGGTTATACACAGCTATACAGAGCTACACACAGCTATACAGGGCTATACACAGCTACACAGGGCTATACACAGCTATACAGGGTTATACACAGCTATAAAGGGCTATACACAGCTATAAAGGGCTATACACAGCAATACAGGGCAATACACACCTATACAGGGCTATACGCACCTATACAGGGCTATACGCAGCTACACAGGGCTATACACAGCTATACATGATTATACAGGGCTAAACACAGCTATACACTGCCATACAGGGCTATACACAGCCATACACGGCTATACAGGGCTATACACAGCTATACAGAGCCATACACAGATAAACAGAGCTATACACACCTATACAGGGCTATACATAGCTACACAAGGCTACACACAGCTATACGCACGCAATACGCAGCTAAATAGAGCTACACACACCTATACAGGGCTATACAGGGCTGTACACAGCTACACAGAGCCATAAAGGGGTAAGTTTCTAAAGAAACTGTGGTGCCACGTCGGTGGGAGAGTATAACAGGTAATTTAGTGTTAACAACTGAGTTGAAAACGTAAATTAGCCACTGTAAAGGGTAAAAAGGCTGACGTTTCGAGCGTCAGTCCTTCGTCAGCGATTGCCTGTCTCTGCAGACCACTCTAGCAAACGTGAATGACTGGTCAAAGGGAAATAACATCAACTTTAACAGCTAGAAATGCACAACGCTTACTGTGACGCGGATGAAAACTCCCTTGATTTACGAATACACCTTAAACAACACACAACTTGTGCGAAGGTCCGCGGAAAAAGATCTAGGAGTTACAGTTACGGGTACGTTGTCTTGGCACTCTTATATATACACCATTACCACTTGAGACAACAAGCTCCTTGGGCTCCTAAAGCGGACATGTCCATTGCTAACTGACGTGTCTACCCGGCGCGCGCCATACTTATCGCTAGTCAAGTCACAACTCTGCTACGCTACTTAAGTCTGGTCGCCAGCTCAGGTTTCCCTGAAGGCACAAGTCGAGCGAGTGCAGCGGCGCGCTACCAGATGGATCTTACAAACCCGGATTGGTGAGATGTCCTACAGAGATAGACTTATTACCCCGGACTTACTCCCTCTTACCTACGACAAAGAACTGAAAGACTTGGTGTTCTTTTATAAGTGCTTCTTTAATTATATTCACCTTGATGTATGTAGTTTCACAAACTTTATTTCTCACGGCCGTACTAGACTTAGCAACTACTTTAATTTAAAAACGCCAATCTGTGAAACGAGCACTTTCAGGCCTCCTACTTCAATCGCATTGTGAAACTTTAGAATTACTCTTGTTCTATTGCTCCTTCCTCTAGTTTTTCGACTCCGCTCTCCTTCCAGCTTTTCGTCAAACAAACACTTTTTGACTGCCGGAGAGTGTCCTTTGACATTGACTGGCCCTGCACGTAGACACTAGTTAGAATTTGCTCGTGCTACAAGCTAGAGGTGTAGTTAGTACTATGTTATAAACCAAATAAAGTTGTTAAA